GGTGTTCTTCAGGTCCTCGTTTGTGCTTGGCATATGCAGATGTTGAGGGGAGGCGAGGGGTGGGGGCCTTCTGTGATTGTTCTGGGAGAGCGATACCGTAGTGTTTTGCGCAGGACAGGAACAGCGGTGTCCCCCTTAGAACAGCCACCTCCCAAGAACAGCTGCGTAATCCGCATCTCGGGACAGCCACGGCGCCCACTTTCCGGAGCGATAGTTGGATTGGAAAGACGATTTCGCGGCTGTTCTGGGGTGGATACTCGTTGGCGGATCCGGGTGGAGGGGGCGAGGGGTCTTTCGCCCTAAGGGGCCCAGATAGCAATTCTTTTTCTATAGAAGACTGGATTTACCTGTTTTAGCAGCTGCCTTATCGGTTTTTTGCATGAAATCCGATAGTTTTTTCAGTAAATGCCTTGCTTCGTTAAAAAGTGACAAATGCAAATTTTTTGAAAAAAATGCAAATTTCCAGTTCACTAAAAAGTGGAAGTATTGCTCGAGCGGTCGTTTGTCAAAAAATGCACGTTCATATACATGTACGATTGCGGTTAAGGTCCGAGCTGCGAACTAATTTTTTGAAAATATGCAAATTTTCAGTTCAATGAAAAATTGAAGGTATTACTCAAACAGTCGTTTTTCAAAAAATCCATGTTCATTTGCATATACAGTTGCGGTTCAGATCCGAGTTGCTGACGACTTTTGGGTTTAGGAGTTGCTTGAGACTGTGGTTGGGGAGCTAGAGAGCTGAGTTTAAAATTTTTATCTCGCACGTGCATAGAGAACATTCCTGCAAAGTTTCAACTTTCTACTTTGCCTAGTTCCCGAAATCGTTTCCCGCCGACATATTTCTTTGAGGGTCCCGTACGCGCGTCTAGGCGCGCATGGGGAAAGATCTTAAAACGAGAGGATGATACACGGGGTAGGAACACATATCCAAAGTTTCAGTCTCCTAGCTTTCCTGATCGCTGAGATGAAAGTGGGCGACAAAATGCACTCGATTTCCGAACACACACACACAGACAGCCTCTCGACAATGTACGTTTTTGCTGGCTGTAGCGGCGCTATAGCGCTACACAGTAAAAACGCATAAAACGACTGAGCTCCATGCAAAAAACTGATAATCATGTACGCTGGAAGTAAATCCGGCCCCATAATGCAACACCTTTATCTCAGCCGACGCTCTTTACCCCTGCATGCGGGAAAAGGCCAAAATACAGCCAATATGAGTCCAAGCATTAAACTGGAAACCACTCCTGCTGTTAGCGACCTGCAAGTTTATCGCAAAAACGCATGATCGTACGACAAGCCTGGTGCGTTGCAGCCAGCGATTTACAGTTCCTCTCACAAAAGTTTGTTGCTAAGTGGCAGTGGTTTTTTGGTCAAGTACTTGCTAAATAAATATGCACCAAATTCGAATTCATTATTGATTTTTTTTAAGCGTTTTGTGCTGGAACAGTAGCACAAAACGCATGTTGTCAAGGGCTTGTGTATGTGTGTATGTTCCGAGTGCATTTTATCCGGCAGTTTCAAGTTGGGAACCACGAAATCTAAGAAGCTGAAATGTTGAGGTGTCTCCTACCCTTCCCCCTCCCTCCCACCTCCCACTCCCACGACTCAGCAAACTTAAATTAAGCCATCCCATGCGCCCGAGTATCACGTTAGCCCCGTAGAAGTTTTGGCGGCGAAAATCGCTGTTTCAGAAGCCAAGGAAGCTAGGGAGCCGAAATTTAGGGTAGTGCTCCTTGCGTATGTGCAACATCGCAAATTTGAATTTCAGTTTTCGCTTTTGCCTTTGGATACCAGGTGCGGCCCTGTGAAAGCTTTGACGAGAAAAACTGTTATCTCGGGAGCGTGAAGAGCTGCGAGGCTACAAACTCCAGCAGGATTTCTTACTTACGCAACAGCCTAACAAATCAAACTTAACTCCCAAGCATGACGAGGTCTCATGTACGAATATGCGAAGTTCTGGCGCGAAATGTTCGGAAGCCGAAGAACGAGGAGGTTGAGAATTTGGAACAATATTCACCGTCCAAGGTTTCAAATTCAGCGCCTTTACTTACGTCAGCGCTTCACGTAATAGTACGTGAAATTTTTAGTGGGAAGTTTCGCAGCCTAAGAACCAGACGTGAAATTTTTAGTGGGAACGGCATATCGACTACTTTTTTTCCTAGACCAAAGTGTAAAACAGTAAAAATCTTTGTGAGGCAAACGTCCGCTGGTTGAAATTGGGGAAACGCATGTTTGCACTGGCTTTTCTAGTGCGCACCGCTATTGATTTGCACCTAGGCAATGCAAAAACGCATACTGTTTAGGGGTAAACCGAAATGATTTTTATTGTAAACTAATACAAACTGACAAATTTGACTTATAAATTGACTAATCCGTTTTAATACCTGATCGTCTTGTACTGGAGCTACCAGCATTTCATCCGGTGCACAAAACGCTTGATCCTGTTCACTGTATCGACGATGTTGCAGGGAGTTGATATGATTCTCCTTGTTAGTCAATTTCGGTAGGCTCGAGCTTACCACCATCGAAGTGGAAACACACGCAGCGCCGCCCTTCTCAAAAATCGGCCAGCCGTTCGTGCTGTCAATCGGCCGACCTTCCCACATCGCCGACTCTGCAATTCAGCTTCTGATCTTAAAAAATCAGTGTGTTCGAAAAGGCTGGATGCATATCCACATGGTGCATGTGTCTCCTTTCATAGAGCGAATTGCGGGCTGAATGTTCGACTGCTCATGCCTATTAAAATGCATTGCGCTGTTTTGCAACCACGCCCACAGTATTTTCATTTTCGTTGCGCCAATATACGAGGAATCTGAGTCACATGCCAGTACTTAACTTTCCATGGAGGCAATCGGAAATTACTCGATCAGAGCACCTCCTCATCAGCTCGCGAACTGTCAATGGCCTTTGAGAAGCGGACAGGATGTGATCTGGTTTCTCATTTTCCAATATATAAAGCATATTATAAAATGAAAAATCAGATCGCATTTTTTCCAAGTACCAGTCTAACAGCAAAACGAATGGCCAGTAACAGACCCAAATGCAAAGTAAAAATTGGAAAAATGGAAAAATAAATAGCGGTGCGCATTCGAGTAGCCGATGCGATCATGCGTTTTGCACAGTTTCGTCAGCGGATATTTGCCTGATAAAAATTTTCACTGTTTTACAATTTTATCTGTGCAAAAATAGTCGACACGCTTCTGTTCCCTAAGCTGCGAAATTTCCCATTAAAAATTTCACGTGTCGGTGCGTAAAACGTAAACACACGTGAAAGCTGAATCTGAAACCCCGAACAGTGAACATAATTTCAAAATTTCAGCCTTCCAGTTCTCTGGCTTCCGAGTAACTTTCATGCCAGAACTTTTACGTGGTCGCACTTGGGACCTCACCATGCTCGTCAACTAAACTGAGTTCGTTAAGCCCTTACATAGGCAGGAATATTCTCCTGAAGTTTTCAGCCTCATAGTCCTTCTGGCTTCCGAGATGAAAATTTTCTCCGCCACAATTTTCACGAGCCTATACGTAATACGCAAGCCAGTGGGGAGGTGTAAACATGTGATATCATATGTGAGCAGGGGACATTACCCTAAAATTTCAGCCCCCTAGCTTTCGTGATTTTCGAGAAAGTAATTTTCCCTGCTAAAAATTTCACGGCGCCATATGCGGTACCCAGGCTATCAAGAAAGGTGGAATTAATTTTGCTTGTCCTACGTGGGCAGAGGACACTACCACAAAATTACAGCTCACTGCTTTTCGCGGTCCCTGACACAATAATTTTCCCCACCAAAGCTTTCACGAGGCCGCACGTGACACCCAAGCTTGCAAGAAAGCTGAATTTGCGAAGTTGTAGGTTGGCAGGGGACATTACCTAAAATTTCACTTCCTTATTCTCCGTATTCCTCGAGACAGAAATTCCCCCCACCACATATTCAGCGGGATCATACGTGGTAGCGTGAGGGCTGAATTTAAACTTACGGGGTCGCATGTGGGCGGGAACATTT